ATATATATATATAGATATATGTAAATATAATGTAAATGGAATACCACATCAAAACAGCTTTAGAGCAATCAGTTTTGTTGGACGCAAATAAAGGTAATACAGTGTATAACCTGTTTGTGGCTTGGCTGGTGTGGTGTTCAGTATAGATGTGGCATCAGTTTGGCTTTGAGGTAGCTGACTCTGGATTGGAGATGGCTGAGGCTGCACTGTCTCTGGTTTGCCTAGACTGTCATCTTTCACCACGACTGGCTCCTTATTTTCCCTATTCAAAAGCTGAAGGAGGAACAGAAATGCGATTATATGTATCCATGACCATGATTCATGAGCAGACCTAAAAAAAGACCAAAACACGGCATTGTGGGATGTTCAGTGTTGAATGCACTGACGTCATAACTAGTGCAGCTGATGTAGAAGAATGTTTCACTGCGGTAGATCCTCATTACCTTTAGTGACTGGTTTGAGGCCGGCCTTGACATAGTTTTGCGTGCGCGATGTATCGTTGGTGGAGGTGTATTCGATACTATGCCGTTTTTAGTCTCTGTGTCCGCTCGTCTCTCTATTGGGCTCGGTCCTGGGCTTGCAGTACTGTTTGAAGAACCCTGGTCAGGGGGTCGCAATGTAGAAGCTGAAGTTGGCGAGCTTTTAGTCCCATGCCCCAATGTGGAACCCCCTACGGGGGACCAGTTAGTCCTATGTGGGGCTGACACTGTGTCTTCCTGCTGTTTGCTTAGAATATATCCATTACTGCCCACTGTAGAGCCATGGGGCGGCTCAGTCTCTGACAGTCCATTCTCCATGGTTGAGGATCGGGCTGGTGACCCTGCAGAGAGGTTCTGTTCAGTTCTCTTTGTGTCCGTGTTTTCATAGGTCCCATTCAGCTCATTGGCCTCTTTGAGAGGGTTGGCTTGCCCGTTCGAGTGATCTTCATCTCCTCCTATAAGAAAAATAACAGAAAAAGTTACGGAATTGTTTCAGGTTCAAAGCAACTTGGCACAACATATCATTAAAAATAAAGCAAAAAATTGTGCTTAGAGTAAAATGGAAGTAACCAGTGCTAGAGACCAGAAGGCCAATATTTTTTAAAGCTAATGTGTTTTGTTAAACACTTAATTAATAAATTAATACTTCTGGAGAAAAAAAAATAATATAATAGTTCTCCAAATCATCCTTGTTTATGTGGGACACCTGGTCTAGGTATAATATTTCAAATTTTGCACCAAAAAATAAATAAAATAGAATGTAAAAATGAATTAAATTTAATTTTGCAATAAACAAAAAAAATTAACTCACTAAACACTAAAGAACAAATCAATATGTGTTAAGATGTGGCTATCAAGAGTGAAACGAGTCAAAATGTTGCCATCAACATTATATCATAAATGCTCATGTATCAAAATTAATTCAGTATTTACCCTCGTCTTGATCACTGCGAGACTCTTTTGTCCCCTCGGACTTCATAGTTTCCCTCTTGCCTGAATTCCCATTGGCCAAACTGGAGGGCTGAAAACAAGCAAACAGTTGAATTACTGGGTTTCCATAACATATGTAATACTGTGTAAAATGCAAACTATGGAGTATCAAAGCAGTAACCAATAATACGTCTCTTAAAGAGAGGGGAGAGAGTGCATAAAGCCAATTGATGAAACTTTACAATGTCCAAGTCAGGCTGATGGCAGGAATAACCTGTCTAAAACAATTAAAGCGGTAATGAGAATGAAAGCGGATCAAATTAGAGTTTGGATCGAAATTAAATGACCCACTGTTTCTAAAAATAGCAGATAATCATTATGGCCACTGGCAACAAAACACAAACACTGGCGAGAACAAAAAAAAAAAAACATGGAGACACCCCTTGGGAATGTGAGAGGCTTATCCCAAAGGTTCGGTCTAAACAACATCTGAATAACAAGGGCTTTGATTGGCTGGGCTTTGAGCCGTCAATCACTCCTGAGTCAAAGTAATATTTTCAAGAGATTCAATATCTCCCAATGCTTTAAGCCACGACCGGTTTCAACAAAAGCCTTTCTAAGGGTTTATTACACCTAAAAACTCCATCCAATAATCAAAATGACCAGGCCAAATAATATCATAACATTTGCAACAACAACAACATGAGAAAATTAACAGGAAGAGCAAACACAGTGGACAATGAGGCCGAGCATGCACTTGCTCCCTAATTGCACCCTTTTTCCTCTCTCTCTTTCATTTTTTATGTTCTGTTCAAATTGGTCACTTTCTTTCTTGGCTACTGGTCCACTGGAAGTAGACAGCCTGATCCAAAGTCTGGCAAAGCCCATGTGGAACATCTCTCCTGCTACTGTAAGTGAAACAAAAACCACTGGCAAGTTGTGGCAACAAATCCATGTTTCAGTAAGTAGATTCAAATCTCCCTGCAAAAACAAAGACAAATTTGGGACTTCATGGAAAATCTTCTCTAAAGGTGCATCGAGAATCCAAAAAACTGCCCTTGATGGATACAATAAAATATACAAAAAAATGTGCCAACATCATTATGCTGGTACCATCAGATATGCCACATCCTTGAGATCTAACGAAATCACACAAAAAAACACAACTCTAGAAAGTGTCCGATGTCCAGGGGTCTCGTTCCTAAAGACAACGTACATCTACAGGACTCCCATACAGTCGGACAGAGCAGATCAAGCTCACTTAGGCCTAGTAAGTCACCTGAGATCATGCGTAATCCTTTGAGCTACTACTCAACTTACTACTACATCCCAAATAGCCTGGAGAAACCTGCAATAACGTCGGGTGATCACCTGCATCAAGGATTCCAGCTTCACTCAATTCGCTTGTCATTGAAGAAACGTGTTTAAAATAAACCCTTGATAGGGAAGAAACAGCAAGGCATGAGGTGATGAGATAGACTTGATTTTTTTTTTTGTCTGGAAGCAAAGACAGACGTCCTCAAACCATGCAACTGAAGTGGTGCATCCAGTCTCACTCACATACCAGCCTCCAACTACTGGAGTGAATCTCTGCAGCCAGGCCCAGAAAGGAAGAGGTAGGTCACAGGGTGCAGTAATTACAAGCAAATCCAAGCTTTCTCCCACCGTCTGTCCCCTCCCCCACCCCAGCCCCGATCCCCAAACCTCATCTGATTGGCAGACACACCGACTGCCTTCCGTTGCACAGCCAGAAAATGTCTGCCGCTCATTCGTTGGAGCTGCTCTTGCAACAAAGGAGGTTGTGTGGCTTTCTGTTCCTCTCTCTCACCACAAGGGGAGTCACTTCATAATAAGAGTCCCCCCATTGCATGCCCAAACCAGGCAAGATCTGCCCCACTGACACTACAAAGACCCCATCACACCTTATCAAATCAGTCCAACAGATTGTGGGTAACTCTGAGGTTTGCTATGGTGGGATCATTCTGTTTTACCAGCATTCAGCTGCATCTCTGATCTACTCATACCTTGGTTATTACAAAACGTCTTTCGTTTGAGTGCAACAACAACTAAGCAAATCCTTGATCTAGAGCTGTGTTTCCCAACCATTTTGTCCTCTGTGCCTCAACTGCCCCATCAATAAGGCTCAAATACCCCTCATGAATGAAATCCAGATTAACAAGTCATTTGCACTCTTTGTATAGTGGCATGCAATTAGCACCAAAGCTCAATTTATACAAACAAAACACACTGTCATTAGTAGAAACGTTAATGAGAAGAGTAAAGAAATCTGCTACTGTCTGAAGTCTATATATATGACAGTCTACGAATGCTTTACTACTAAATTACATTGCTTTGTTTAATAAGTAACAATGTATTAACCAGAAGATTTTATCATATTATTAAAATCAATTGACAGTCCTAACATTTCTATTTGAAGTCATAATGTTTGTTTAAAAGGTTTAATACAGCAAAATCTTTCAGGTGTCCCACTGAACCTGATTAAGTACCCTTGGTTTGGATCACTGGTTTACATTTCTTCAAAAATTAGTTCAGAGCATTGTTTTCCTTATCTTAGAAAAACATTCGTAAAGCAAAGAGAGAACAGCTGAAGAGACATTCTTGGCACATGAGAAAAAGGGTCTCCGGAAAAGAAATAGTTGCACAAAATAACTTGCATGTTAGCTTACAAAGATAAATGGTTTCAAATATCCAACAACAGTATATAAGAGTCCATAATACATGGACTGACACAGTGTTGTCTAGTGGGCCTCAATGGAAAACTAATAACAACAGACTAGCCAATTAGCTAGGTTGACTAGAGTATCCAATTTTGTCTTATTTTCTTAGCTTCCATATTTAATTAGCCTGCTATTCCTTAGCTATTAGAGAGTTTGCATGGTAAAAGTTCTCTCATGGAAAACTGCTTCGAAAACTAAAACCAGTCTAGACTTTGGCAGTTCAGAGGCCTAAGCGCAAGAATATGAACAAATGCAAATCTGCAGCTGATTTCAAGAATCTGGCACCATCACCATGTTGCACAAGGCCACAGATGCTCTGACCCAATAACCACAGGTAGTATATCCAAATCTATTGGCATTTCTAGCATGCATAGTCGTTTTCAGTCCTACAGCTCACAGTTTCAAAAGGAAGAACAACTTGGCACAGGCATATTAGAAATGATCAACAACCAATAAAGCTGCATTTCCCATCATTTTCCATTCACAGAACCTCCCAAAATCATGTCAAGCTCTTTTATGCCACCAATATACTGTAAACCATCACCTTGAGCATTGCCTCCAGTGATCTTTTCATCGCCAAGACATTTTCCAAGCAAACCAGCTGAAATGGATCCCAGATATCAGCTCCCACATTCCTCTCATTGAGAGAAAAGCATTTGACTGCGATTATCCAGTTGTTTCCCTGGATCTCCCCCTACAGGCCAAAGAGGGAAAATGCTCAGTAGAGGAAAGAGGAGGGAAGGGCCTTATGCTCCATTCCACCATGTTGTAATCACAGTGTTTACTGATATGACGAGCCAGACAGGGAATGTTTTCGACGGAATATGGGGTACTGGATTGCGATTTGGCTTGACTGGGGATAGCAGACCAACACATTTAGAGTTTATATAGAGATATAATATAAGAATAAGAACTGAATCTATATCAAATAACTCAATTTTATGCTGCTTAATATTATACACATATAAGACTATACTGGGGTTCGTAAAAAAAAAAAAAATTCATTGCCATTATCTGGATATCACTCCATGACGTAATTTTCTCATAAATAAATATCTGCTACAATACAGAAGACTAAATCAACTTACCGTTTTATTAAAGCTGGGTGGGATATAGTTTTTCCTCTAATGACCTATTTTGGTGTCTATGGAGAGTGCAAATGCAGCATTACTTTTCAACTCTCCACCAATAAACAGGTTTTTCCACATGCATACGATCAGCTTCTCAGGTATCTGCTAAGAATTAATCAGCCACCCGGTGGGATTTTTAAGACTTGACTTCATTAACCTGAGCTGTGGATTCTGAAGTAAACGGTGACTGGGGTTTGTATCATGCCGTTTGGCAGCAGAGATCAAAGTGCAAACAACCAAACCCCATAAGGATTTTGTTGACCTCACCTTCCTAATAGTTTCAACACACACCGCAAGCCATGAGCGCAATGTCTTAGAGGACGTATGAAATATGAGAGTGCTAAAAATGATTCACACCTTCATTTCAGTTTAATATCCAATTACGTGTGCAACCAAAAGTCGGAGCTGAAGGAATCGTACGGTGTGTCAGCTGCAGCTGCGGCTGTGACTCATGCATGAATGGCAATCAATGAAGACACCAAAATACAAGCCAAGGCAGAGGGCAATGTGACAAATCCATTCAAAAGCAATAAATACGCTAAACAAGGGCTGAAACCATTTGACAATACAAAATGATTACACCATACAGCCAAAATGCATATAGCATGAAACTCGACACAACTTTGTCCCACTGTTTGGTCAATTCACATTTGGAGGAATAAAAACGCGGGGAAATTAGAAGATCAGGGGAAAAAAACAACAGGCCTCATTTTTTTAGGTCTTGCAGCAAAGACTAACCACTAAACTCTGTCATCAGTCTTGTCACAGAACCTGTTTCTCGTTAAAGCCTCTCTGCATCTGGACAGTTTCAAATAGTTCTCTCAGGAAACATACAAAAAGCATGTTTTCAGATTTACTGTAGTCTAGTCTCCTCACATTGGCAGCCTAGGATCTCTCAACAGGCCTGGGCCTGCAAAATTTTTCTTCCTCAACAATATGTCTATGTTTGGAAATAGCATATTACCTACCACACCACTCTTACCATTTCTGCAGTACATGGTACGCATACTGCGATTATTAAATTATTTACAATATTTGGCAAAAAGAAGAAATACAACAGAGCACACAATAAGAAATACTGTATCCCACAATGCAATGCCTCTACAATTGACTTGCCATTTTCAACATCGATATTTGATCTGCCAAAAATGTAAACATATTTTTCAGACAAATTCAGATTTAAATTGCAAAGTAACCATATTTATTTTTTAAAACTGTACGGC